GGAAGTCTTGGAGGCTAGCAATTTGCTTTCTCTGTATTTATCACTAACACCATGTAAACATAGTCTGAACCCACTCAATTTTGGGTATCAATGAGAGAGGATACCTGAGAAAGGTGAGGTCTAGGAGGACGGGTCTTCTTAAGGAGACCACAAGGATACACCTGCAGGGTCCTATCCATGGTGACTCAGCTCTTGGGAATTTGTAAACTTAACTTCCTGGAACTTGGAAATTTCCAAGTTCTGTGAAATCCTCTAGTTCTGTAGGGGCTGGAATAGCCTCTCCTGCTTGAGTCAAACTGGCCAATGAGAAGGGTACCTGTGGGGTGGAGCTTTTTGACTGTTGATGAAAAGGGAAAGACGAAGCCGGTTGGGAGAGGGCGGCCATTTGGACATCTTCTATGCTGTAAGCTCCTGGCTGGTAAATAAAGTCCTTCCTCTTAGAAACGTGGTGTTTGGGTGCTCTTTCTCTCCGTTGGGCCTCATCGTCCTGCAACATCTCCACCGTCCCTATCTTAATAAAACACTGTCACTACTTTCCTAGCTGACAGTAACAGCCTCCTTACTCTGCTTTCATTTGGACCTGCCTCAACCCATTTTCAATATTATAGCCCGATGGCTCTTCTCAGATCTCCTATCATCTGATTGTTTTAATCTTTTGCACCATGTAGTACTCGCCACATCACAGAACCCGAAGTGCTGTCTGTCTCCCCAGTAGACTGAAAGTCCTCCGAATACAGGCTTATCAGCTTTTCCTCACCCTCAGATCCTCAGAGTCTGGCACATAGAGGGTGCTTGCTGGAAGTAATTTTTGAATAGTATACAATGTCAATAAACTGTGTAATTTGGTTATCTATTAGGCCAATTGTCTGTTTCTCTCCAGTCCCTTCACTGATGTATCCTAACAACCTAAGAAAATGCCTGGAAATTAGAGAGCCCTGTAACTTTTGTTGGAGGAATGAATGGATGAAAGAATGAAGACCAGAGTGAGACTCTGACTTCCTGCAGAATCCTGGGTCTTGCGTTGTATTGTTTCAAGCCCTTAAAAAGTGCTGTCCCCGAATTTCTAGGTAGAAATGTCTCCAGGAAATTGGAATTTGTACTGGAGTGCTCCAAACAATACCGGCAGAGGCTAATTCGGGTTATAGATAAGAACCGGCGAAAAGGCAGCCTTTGCCAAAGACCAACAATTTGAGGTCAGCCACTTTATCTGTGGAATTCTCCACCCCCTTTTCATCCCTTGGCTATCCCATTAAATTGGAAAATAAATCCCAAGCCTGCTAAGGTGTTGGCTGATAAAGACTTGAGCTATTGCCCCTTCAAGGGGAATTTGCATTTTAATAGAGGCTCGTCAAGCCCCAGAGGAATCAATATCTCTAACGGTGAAATTTTAAGCCCTGGCAACTGAGATATTTTGGGGCCAGACTCGCCAGTGTTTCTTTTCCAACGGGGCACTCCTTAAGTTCTGCCAGAGGCCATGGAAGAATGGTCTGGGGAAATGACTGGCCCATTTCCCTTTATTACTTTG